GATGAGAGAGAGAGAGAGGACGCAATAGGTTATTTGTAAACTTTTGGAATATATCAGTCATAATTTAGCTTGGAGAGAGTCTTAGATATCTAAAATTCCTTTACAAAATGACCTTCAATAGGTCTGAAGAAAAGGCCTAAAAATTTGATTTGTCGCCAAATGTGTCTGGTGTCTTGGTAATTTGAGTGAGATGCCCCCAACAGATTTCAGTAACTCCAAGTATCTCTGAAGTGGTATTTTCTCTCCTTAATTCCTATTAGGCAACTGATAATTTCATATGTTTTTTTATGTTTTAATTATCTCAATAATCCATCTTCTCATGTTTCCCTTTAGGTGAGAGGGACTCTGCGTTCACTTCCTATATTGGTCTCACTACCTGCAGTTAGAGTTTATTGAATGGAGTCATGCTGCTACCATTCTTTTATTTTGATCAATGAGTTTGCCTGATAAGAATTTTACTGATGTATGGAATTTTGCAGATAATAATTAAAATGGCAGCTGCAAATGGCGTGAAGCGCATTTGGGTAGGCCAAAACGGTCTCCTTTCAACCCCAGCAGTTTCTTGTATCATACGTGAAAGATATGCTGCAGATGTAAGATCATTCTCTCTTCTAAACATGTCATTCTGGCCCCTCATGTAGCTTTGAGGCTTCTCCTAGCATTGTTCATTTCGTCACATAACCATTATACAGTTTTAATCTAAATACATGGTCATAGTTTCTGCATTAGAGGCAAAATATTTTTATGTTTATATGATAATTTATATTGTGTTATTGCCAATTGTAGGGAGCTAAGGCTTCAGGAGGTTTCATCTTGACAGCTAGTCACAATCCGGGGGGACCGCATGAGGTATTTGCTTCTATGGGTTTCCCAACACATTAGGATCTAGAAAACAGGAGTCCATCGTTTGTAGAAAGATCAGATACTGGCTATTTCTCATGCATGGTTTGAGATTTATTTTAATGGTGGATGTTACTGCAAATCTGTGATGCATGGACACTTCAAAATGAGTGATCTATGTTGGATGCTCCAAAATCGTATGTAAAATCACAAATAGCTGATGTTGTAGCCGTTTTCGTGGCTGTAGCCATGCATTACAGCTGTATAGTTAACTGTTGTGTTTATTTTTAGGTTAATGCAAAGATGAAGAAATGATTCGCTACCAAAAATGTTCATCTTTGGGCTAAATTCTCGTGTGTTTTTTTTTTTGAATTTGTATGTAGTTTTATTCAAGTATGTATAAGTATGTGTCGTTTCTTGGTACGGGTCAACTATATGAATCCAAACACCTATTTGTGTTCTCATGGCCACAATTTACTTCACGTATTGTGGTTTCTCCTACTTACATACTAACCTTTTTCTTGTTCCTTGTTAATTATACATGGTGCCTGGAGCTTACTTGTAAGCACCTAGGGATCTATGGGAGGGAGAGACATTGTGTCATGCCTATGGAGTTTATTGGACATAAACGTCGAGTCAATTTCTCTTTTTTGTTGGCATGCTATATGGAGGACATTTTTGTGAGATTTGAACTTTGTATGTTTCATATAATCAGCTTGCTGATTTATTATGAGTAATCTCCATCGTGAGTTTGATATTTTTTATCTGTCTAACATGAATTACTTGTTCTCGTACTTGGACATCATTGTGAGCAATCAATGGGAACAATGATCATAAGAGAGAAGTCTGCAATGTTATCTCTTATATTGGTTCGCACTCTAAGGGTGCTTGTGTGGACCTTATTGATTCTATGGATATCTTAATCACTGTGTATGCCCCAACTGTTAAACAAAATATAGAATATGAGAATGAACATATCTTCTTCTCAGATATCTTACATATGAATGGTGATAGTAGTTCTATCTCCTGAGTACATGATATTGCTATTATATTAGAATAAGATGACTAACATTATCTAATTTCCTCGACTTTATTATTCTAAAATTTTTCATAAAATTTTCTAATATGGTGAGATATTCTCGGGAGCTGTTAATATCATTGCTCTCAGTGATTTCATGCTACTTCCTGGACTTCTATAAATAATATCTTCTATTGCAATCCAGTGGTGGATATATCTTTTTTCTACTTTAAATCACCAGTCACGAGAACAAATTAATTGCCATTTTCTACAGTTTTGTACGTAAGTGTAGGGCTAGCAATGGGCAGCCTTGGCGTGAGCCTAGCATTGATCCGTAAAGGCCAGACTCAAAAAAAGGGGGAAAAAAAGGGCCGTGCTGGGCTGGCCCTGTTGCGCACCTGGGCTGGCCTTGGGCGACACTTTGTGGCCTTGGCCCTAATTTTTGCTGGCTGGGCTGGGCTGGGCTGGGCGGGGCTGACCAGTCTAGGCAGCGCCGCTTGGTCCATTGCCAGCCCTACCTAAGCAAAAGTAGGAGGTGGCAATGCACCTTTGTATAGTTTGCCATGGCTCACTAGTTGACTTTCACTGTTGACTTTTATGTTAGTATTAGCAGTAATTGTTTCTTGAGTTGATTCTTCCCAGTTTTGTGTGTTTACATTACAGCATATGTTGTTTGACATTTGTCCTGTTGCAGAACGGTTGTCCTGCATGATTTCACAAGAATGTTGGCTTTCTTAATTTCTGTTGATTGGTGATGAAAAAAAATGTCTATGATTTGTAAAAACTGTTGTATGGGTGAGTTCAGGTGAAGACCAATTGCCTAGTCATATCAAGTTAATATCAACAATACCTGATGCCTAGTATTCTATTCTCATTTTTTATATTAACCTTCAATGTTCTTTCTAGGATTTTGGGATCAAATACAACATGGGGAATGGAGGACCTGCTCCTGAGGCAATTACGGATAAAATATATGCCAATACAAAGACAATAAAAGAATATTTCATTTCAGAAGATCTTGTGGATGTATTACCCTTCTCATGGGCTTGTTTTGGAAGTTCAATTGTATGACACATTTCTCATGATATGTGAAGTTGTATAATTTTCAAGTAATGGTGCAGGTGGACATCTCTGTCCTTGGGGTATCAAGTTTTCAAGGACCTGAGGGAACTTTTGAAGTGGAGGTCTTTGATTCGACAACTGATTATGTGAAGCTGATGAAGTAAGTGTCATTCAGAAGACCAAGGGAAACTTCAGTTACAATTGACATTAATATATATATATATATATACTGCTTCATGTTTTATTCCTCATTGACATTTTCATCTGATTCAGAAAAGTGTTTGCACGTCATGAGGTAGCATATTCACCTTTCATTGGTTTCACAAATTAAGAGCCATAACTTCATTGGCACTATACTCTGTTGCCACATTGCATTTGTCATGTGCAGAAAAAATGTATGTCTAAGTTGCTATAATGTTAATGGCTGAGTTAGTGCATCCTCACATATTTGGGACTATGACCTCTTAGTACTATTTGAATGGTGAACAAATATGCAATATCATAGAAAATTTGTTGTAATTGTTGTGAAACCTGTTGTTTTGTGTTAGTAGGCTAGTAGGGCATGATTGCCACATTACATGGAGAATCTCTCCTTCTCTTCCTTGCCTCCCAACCTAGCAGCGTAGCCAAAACGGCCCTTCTCAGATGATGAAGTCCTAGGGACAATCAACGACCTCAGTTCTGACCGAGCCCCTAGACTGGACGTCTTTCCAATTGCTCTCGTTAAATCCATTTGGGAAACCCTGAGTCCTGACATTATGGCCTTCTATGTGGAGTTCCACTCCCGTGGCATAATTCACAAAGCCATGAATGCTACATTCATAGCGTTGATACCTAAAAGTGGAGGAGCCGAAGAACTTAAAAGATTTTAGGCCCATAAGCCTGATTAACAGTTCTTACAAAATCTTGTCTAAAGTTTTGGCCTCCCCCCTAAAGACCGTCCTAGGCTGGGGTAATCTCCCCAACTCAAGGGCTTTTCATGAAGGATTGCCGGATCCTTGATGGGGATAGCACACGAGTGCATTCACTTTCGTCAGGTCCTGTCATCAAAAACCCCAGGTCCTGTCATCAAATTGGACTGGGAGAAAGCTTATGATCATGTTGAGTGGAAAATTCTTGATGAGACCCTCTTTAGAATGGGCTTTGGGACCGTACGGAGAAAATGGAACCAAGGATGTATATTCAAACCCTTCTTCTCAGTGCTCATCAATGGTTCCCCTAAAGGATACTTCCAGGCTTCGAGAGGCCTGCGACAAGGTGATTCTCTGTTGCCTTTCCTCTTCGTGATAGTGCTAAGGTCTTTAGTACTTCCATTTCTAGAGTGTATCGAGCGGGCCTTCAAATAGGCCTTCATGTTTACCATTTCCCACCTTCAATACGTTGACAATACACTCCTATTTTGCGATGCCTGCCAGCAACAAGTCGACTTTCTACTCCTCGTCTCCAATGTTTTGAGTTAGCCATTGGTTTCAGTGTTAATATGGAGAAATCTAAGATGATGGGAGTTAGCATCGACAATTCTCTTGTTCATAGCCTAGCTGAATGTTGGGTGTGCAGTAGATAACTCCATCCACTTACCTGGGAATTCCTCTATGGCTTGGTTTGCCGAGACTCAACCAATGGAGTCCCATTATTGACAAATTCAAAAGAAGGCTTGATGGCTGGAAACGGCGATTCTTATCCTCCGCTGGAAGAGTTATTCTCATCAAGGCAACACTCTCAAACATCCCCTTATTCCTTATGTCCCCTTATTCCTTATGTCTCTCTTCCATATGCCTGCTTCTGTCAGAGCTAGAGTGGAAAAACTCATGATGGACTTCCTGTGGTCAGGTGAAGGATGCCACAAATAGTCGCCATCTCTTCCTTAATCAGGTTTCGCCTAAGGATGGGTAACAGGATATTGTTTTGATCTGGCACTTGGGTAGGCTGTATTCCACTTAAGGATCAGTTCCCAACTCTGTTCCTCATCCTCTCTCCACAGTGGCCGACAATTTTGTATGCTCTAGGCCTACTAGAACTTGGTATCCTAATTTCCAGAGGCCCCTTGCAGACCAGAGATGGGAGATTTTTGGAGCTCTCCCCTATTCTACACATGGAGTTTCTCCCCCTTTCTGGGGACGGCAAGATAATTTGGTCTCCAGCTACATCTGGGGTCCTTTCAGTAGCTTCTTTTTATCGAGCTATCACCTCTCCACCCACCTTCTCTACTGAATCCCCCTTGATTGCGGCCAAAGCATGGTTCTCTTTCATTCCCTCCTAAGATTCAAGTTGTCTGCTGGGTTGCCCTTCACGAAAGGGCCCCAACAGTTGATCAACTTCAGAGAAGAGGTCTCTCCCTACCTAACAGATATGCCATGTGCCTAAGGGTTGAAAAGACTAATGCACATCTCTTCATCCACTGTGATGTAGCATCTGCCCTCTGGTCTGATATGCTCCACCTGTTTAGTTGGTGCTGGGTAACTCCTCAGTCTATCCCCCATTTCTTCTCTACCTGCCTACACACCCCCTGGACTAAATCTGGCAACCTTCTTTGGAGGGCATCGATCGCTGCAACCCTGTGGATAATTTGGCTCGAAAGGAATAACAGAATTTTCATGGAGGAGAAACCCTCAATCCCTACCTTGATCGACAAGTGTCGAACACTAGTTTCCTTTTGGGCCAAAAACCACAAACTCTTCAGAGATTTCTCATGTGCTGAACTCCATCACAACTGACAGGTCCTCTTGAACCTGACGGCTTAAGGATACCACATGCTTCTTTGTGTAGGCTGCTTGACGATGGGCAAACAAAGCTAAATTTTGACGGTTGCTCTCTTGGAAATCAGGGACCCTCCGGTATTGGGGGCATTTACAGAAATTCCGAGGGCTCTGCCCTCCTCTCCATTTCCCCACCTATTGGTTTTATGGACTCCACTACTGCGGAGGCTGTTGCTTTGCTAGAGGGGCTTTGAAGATTCGACCCTAGCTGGAACACAGATTTGGTAGTTGAAGGCGACTCCAGCAGCATCATCACCTTGGCCTCTTGGTCTGCCCCATGCCCTTGGGGACTCGACCATATCTTCGATGAAATTTCACACATCTGCAGCACCTTATGTGTTACCTGGAGACACACTTATAGGGAAACCTACAAAGCTGCCGATGCTCGAGCTAGGGAAGGAGCAAGTCTTAACATCTCCATGGGGATTGTAGGCATTTTGCGTGCATGCAGACTGTAGGATCCTCTTTTTTTGCAACCTGATATGTGCTTGTAAACACTAGGATCGTCTGCAGTAAAAATAAATTTATCCATTATTCGTGTTATCTGCCATTGTAAACGTTTTATCTTGTATTGCCCAGTACATATTACAGCAAGAAAAGTAATTTGCATTTTTATAATCCTGCCTTCATTTGGACCAGCAACTTGATACGATCCTTCTAGCAATTTTTCTTTCTTGTTTTTGGTGTGCAACTTTGATGAAATATCTCTGTTCACCTGTTGAGGCTCCAAAGACTTCTGATGTTGGTGCAGACCATTGATTTGATTATTTTGTCCTGATGGTTCTGAATGTTACCTTTGAAGGCCTTAATTCAAATACTGAAATGCATACGAGAATAATTGGATACTTTACGCAACGAAGTCGCCTTTTTGTAAGATTTTTTTTTTTGGATAGTGAATTAAGAATCCTGTCTTTTTTTATAAGTGTAGGTCAATATTTGATTTTGAATCTCTCCGGAAGCTGCTTTCCTCTCCAAAGTTCACATTCTGGTAAGCTGGATGTTTTTAATGCACTTGAGATTCTTATCATTGGAAACATTCTTTTCTAGTTTTTCAGATACAGGAATTGTCTAAATCCCCTCTATTGATTGCCAATTTTCAGCTTTGATGGACTTCATGGAGTGGCTGGTCCCTATGCCAAACGTATTTTTGTGGAAGAGCTTTCTGCCCATGAAAGGTCATTATTAAATTGTGTACCAAAGGTACTATAGCTTCGTACTTTGTTTCTACTAAGTTTCAGATTAGTTCCATTAAGTGTCAGATTAGCATTTCCTTCATGAAATTTGGAAATGTACAACTAAAGTTTATAATATAAAATAATAACAGTTGCCTTTGTCAGAAAAAAGGGGTTCCCTTCTTTCCCACAGTTGTATTTATTTATTTTCTATTTACTCAAATTCAAAGATTCATTCTTCCTGGACACAATCAAACAGGAGGACTTTGGAGGTGGCCACCCTGATCCAAACCTGACCTATGCAAAGGAGTTGGTTGCACGTATGGGATTGGGTAAAGAAGCACCTAAAGATGAACCACCAGAATTTGGAGCTGCTGCAGATGGTGACGCTGATCGTAATATGATCCTTGGGAAAAGGTATTGTACCTTTCTGTATGATTTCTTGATAAGCCTTTCTAAAGAAAATGCCTTTGGCTTCTTCTTAGAGCTGCTTCTTTTCCTTTCATCCTCAGATTTTTTGTAACTCCTTCGGATTCAGTTGCCATTATTGCGGCAAATGCAGTCCAAGCCATTCCATATTTCAGTTCTGGATTGAAAGGAGTTGCAAGGTAATCAATGCTTGCATTCATAATTGTGCAAAACAGTTATACAGAAATTCATATGTATTGATCTTATCATAGATCATTGAACATAATGTGTCCTTCCAATTTTGTTGGTTATGACCTTGTCCAGGAGATTTTATTCTGCTTTCTAAAGTCATTGCATATTATTTGTGTTTTTGTTCATCCTTGACCCTTCAAATATTCTTCCTTGCAGGAGCATGCCTACATCAGCTGCCCTTGATGTTGTGGCAAGAGATTTAAACCTGAAATTTTTTGAGGTACTTCGTAGATTTTAGATTAGACGTTAGTTGTGGAAAGTTAAATTTATGAAGCTTGAAAGGTTTCACGTTATCTATTCGGGTGTTCTTTTAGGTTCCCACTGGATGGAAGTTTTTTGGGAACTTAATGGATGCTGGATTATGTTCAATCTGTGGTGAAGAAAGTTTTGGAACTGGTGGGTATCATGTCAATTATTCTTGAAGGTGTCACTAGTTATGGAATTGATTGATTGTGCTATATTCTTCAATTTGTACTTGATTGCATTTACACTTCATAGGTTCTGATCACATTCGTGAGAAAGATGGAATCTGGGCTGTTTTAGCATGGCTTTCTATTATTGCCTATAGAAATAAGGACAGCCTGGATGGAAGAAAGCTTGTGAGTGTTGAGGACATAGTTCGTCAGCACTGGGCTACTTATGGTCGTCACTACTATACTAGATATGATTACGAGGTAAGTCCACTTGGAAAAAAAAAAAAAGAAGCTATCCATTCCAGTGATTTTGTAGCTTCTCTGATGGTCTGAAATGTTTCAAATGGTTCTGTGAAGAATGTGGATGCTGGAGCAGCAAAGGATCTTATGGCACATTTAGTCAAACTGCAAGCCTCTCTTCCTGATGTCAACAAGTATTCCTTCTTAATTAATTTGCGTGTTGAACGCTGATTTGGGTTTTCATGTGGAAAGTTTGTTGGTTGATGTGGAATGTTTGTCATTCTTACTCAATTGATCTCCCTGATATTCATAACCTTCAAATGATTTTCTTTCTTTTAAGGGAGTTTCTATTAAATTTTAATTCCATTAATCAAATTTTTATTGATATTCTATTTTCCTATGGTTTCTATGTAGGTCTTAATTTTTAAAGTAATGGCTCTATCCAACCATTCGTGATTTTTTCTTGGTAGTGGAGTCCTTTATATACCAAGGAACCCTTTTTCCTCTCCTAATGTAGGGCAAAAAATTTCAGTCAGAAAAAAATGTAGGGCGAAGGATTTGATCATTTCAAGTTTACTGCGTCACAAAAGAAAGAAAAGAAAATTATGTAGATTAGTTTCCTGAATCTTTTCCTATTTACTGTCTAGGTTCTGTTATATTACCTTGCTCATGACACTTTGCACTCACATATTTCTTTTAAAGAATTACAAACATCACCCAGAACTTCTTTATAGAGATTGGTGTACATTTATAATTTGTTGCGATCTTGATAAAAGGTTCATAAAGGGGATACTGTCAGATGTGTCCAGCATAGCTCCCTGATATTCATAACCTTCACATGATTTTCTTTTCTTAAAGGGAGTTTCTGGTAAATTTTCATTCCAGTAATCAAATTTTTATTGATATTCTGTTTTCCTATGGTTTCTATGTAGGTCTTAATTTTTAAAGTAATAGCTCTAACCAACCATTCGTGATTGTTTCATGGTAGTGAAGTCCTTTATATACCAAGGAACCCTTCTTCCTCTCCTAATGTAGGGCGAAAAATTTCACAGTCAGAAAAAAATGTAGGGCAAAGGATATGATCATTTCAAGTTTTCTGCATCACAAAAGAAAAAGAAAGAAAAGAAAATTATGTCGATTAGTTTCCTGAATCTTTTCCTATTAACCATCTAGGTTCTGTTGTGATAATATTACCCTGCTCATGAAACTTTGCACTCACATATTTCTTGTAAAGAATTACAAACGTCACCCTGAAATTCTTTATACAGATTGGCGTACATTTATAATTTGTTGTGATCTTGATACAAGGTTCATAAAGGGAATACGGTCAGATGTGTCCAACATAGTCCAAGCTGATGAATTTGAGTACAAAGATCCGGTTGATGGTTCAGTTTCAAAGCACCAAGGAATTCGATATTTTTTTGAGGATGGGTCTCGATTGGTAAACTGTCATTTTTCTCTCTATTTTCTGTTTAATGACTTTATACTAATTGTATTCATGGTGTTTCTTAAATACGGATTTCTCACTGCAATAGTCCACTCTCTCTTTCTCTCTCCGAAAATCAATCCAAACAATTTCTCCTGTTCAGGGTATCGATTTGATTCTCAATTGTGGAATTAGGAGGATATTTAGAAATAGATAGATCCCATCAACAACACTTCCTATATTCACTTCTATTCCAGGACTATATCCATACACTTGCTTATGATCATGGTTAAAATGGATCAGTTCTTTACAGTGTTCTACAAAACCTGCATAAATCACTTGCTCTGCTTTTTGGATTTCTAGAAGTATCTGTACAAGTTAAATTTTATGCTAATCCTTCAACATATCCTACTAAAGTGCCATGCTCAAGTACTTTGGATTTTTAAAATAGTCATTTAAAATTCCATTGTTTTTAGATTCTGAGTTTCTGGAGGACCTTCACCATTCATATAGGTGCTCTAGGCACTGATTAATTATTTTATTTTGATTGGTAATCTAAGTATATCTGTATAGGTTATAATTCTGATGATATATGTTTTAACTTTGATAACGCTAGGTTTTCCGTCTTTCTGGAACTGGTTCTGAAGGTGCAACCATCCGCTTATACATAGAACAGTATGAGAAGGATTCTTCCAAAATTGGAAGGGACTCTCAAAAAGCCTTGGCGACACTGGTAAGAAACTTCCATTTTCTATCCTTCTGATACCAAGGTTATGTTTTAACTGTTAATACAAAAATTATATTCCACAGGTCGAAGTTGCTTTGAAGCTCTCTAAGATGCAGGAATTCACTGGTCGCTCTGCTCCCACAGTTATTACATAGGAAGTGGGACTGCTTCTGTTGATTCAGATATCATTTTGTTAAGGTATGCAATGATCAACATGACAACGGTTTGTAGTTCGGAGCTACTTTGGAGTCAGCTAGTATAGCAATAATGAGTTTGAAGCTGCAACAAAAGCATAATATTATATCCCCAAAAGTGCCATCTTTATGGCTTTTGCTTCGTCTTCTTTTGTTATATGTTGCTAAGTTTAGTTTCGTATCGAAGACATAGATGTTGCTATATTTCTGCCTTTTGCTTATTTTACTGGATCTTGGAGTTCGCAGAAGATTTTCGGACAGCATTTTCCTTGGGATGCTTTGTTAAGAATTTAACTAGTGGAATGCATCTATTGTATGATGATCAAGACTGTAATAAATACTTGATGGTGGGAGTTGTTATGCATACTTCAATGTTTTCAAATGTCGGTGCAACTTACTATTCCATTCAATTGTAAAGCAGTCACATGAATATGCTAGAAAAGCTATGCATTGCTTCTATGAACATTTTAGATTTAACATTTAACTAAACTTGCTGTTCTCTGACTTCTTGGTTTATCAATCAAATCAATTATTTCCTTTTAACTTCGAATTGTCATGTTAGAAGGATTTTTTCCATCTGGAAAAAAGCTACGAATTAGGAGGATTTTTTTAGATCTGTACATATTGTACATCTATTCTGGTGAAAAAGCTACTTAGGGGGATTTTTCAATCTGGAATTTGGGATTCACCTGAGAATTACCAGATTATTATTTCAAAGTAGAGGATTTTGAGCTCCTAGACACTTAGATTTTACCATTCAGAAATTGGACACTAAATTCAATTTTTTTTTCTTTTGAGGTTGATTTCTAGATGTTGGATCCCAAAAATTTGGGGTTCTAATAGTGTTTGAGGGTTTATTATTTTTTAATTATTTTATTTCTTTTTCTTTTTTTGTATCAAGATACCTAACATGACATCAAACCAGCCCAAGAAACCATGCAGTTCATGATTGGATTATACTGCGGTTGTCGTACCTCGGCAAGATGGGGTCAAAACCTCATGGATGGACATTATGAGCCCGTATTACCCAGAAAAACCCTTAAAGAGGTAGGTAATCAATGGTCTCTAAACAACAGTAACCCACCAACTTTGGAAGATTAGGGTTGACTGGTCACACAGGCAGGTGATGCCATGTACACCAGAACTGATGGAATCTAACTGAGAAATGGTTTTGGATCAAGGTCAAATTTGGAGGATCTTCATAAATAAATCACATGGGACTATCCCTTGCAAAAGCCATGAGTGTGGGACGCAGCATGATATTGAGCCGTCACACATACAATTGATAAGGGAGATGGTCCAAACCATGACCTGATGAGTTGAGTACTGCTGAAATGGGTCAAAGTTTAAATATAATATGCCCCCAAGACACCCTCCAAAAATTGGAGTATTCTAATATTGGATGCTTGAAATATGGGGTCCCAAAGTTAGAGATCACTGACGAGGTAGTATTCATCACTTTATGCCCTAAAAAAGTGGGTCGATTGACAAAGGGACCCTTGACAAACAGTGTCTGAAGAAGGCTGAAACTTGGTAAGATGGTGGATTGGTCCCTAAAAACCTCGAGTTTCTAATTTCAGGGCAATATGGCATCTTCTAGTGCCAATAAATTTGAGGGAATTTTAAAAGGAATAGGACTGGTCGCTATTTGGGATAAGACCGGTGCACATGAACAACATGACCGGTCACTATTTATAAACAGGCACCTCACAAGATTTACTTTGGGCACTTTTTGGGCCATATCTTTCAAGCCAAATTTGGAGGGGATTGTTCCTCACTCAGTCCTCTTTCGGTCCGTACATATATCAAATGGGTTATTTTCTACGGCCTAGTAGTAGACACATCAGTTTGAGTGTGGTAGGTCAAGGATTCAGATCCTCGAAGTTTGTCCCCAAATAAAAAGCGAAAAAAGCTATCCTCCTCCCACCCTGCTGATTTACCCAAAAAAAGATACTAGGTTGAACGCAAGGACATCAACTCCACCTTACACATACACTCTCTCCCTGCATATAACAACCCCCACCTCCCCTTTTTCTCTCTATATATGACAATCATTAATAAGCATTTAATGCAAGGACAACTCCCAACGCATTAAAATATATATATATATATATATATATAAATATATAAAAGTAGCAATCTTAGAATGTAGAATTACAAATGCACCTCAAAATTTCATTGGAAAAAGTTGTTTTAATAGTGAAAAAACCTCTAATTGATCATCTCGACATCGAGATGTATGAAAATGAAAAAACAAAAAGATTTTGAGTCCTAGAAATAGTGCATCTTGCAATATATTATCTAGACCGTCCATTTTCAAGATTTCCATATGTTTATAGATCTACTTGATTTTAACCAGTTTTGGAGTTTAAAATTTTATAATTATATATAAAAATAGATTTTGAGATAATCCTAAATTTTTTTTTGCCAAAATTTCATGTTATGATTAAATTTGTAGGTGAGCCTTAATTGGATTGTTTAAGGTTGCGACTTCATAGAAACCACACCTTATATATATATATATATATATGTGTGTGTGTGTGTGTGTGTGTGTGTGTGTGTGTGTGTGTGTGTGTGTGTGTGTTATTAATATACTATCGTCTCCTCCTACTACGTAACTAAACTAAATTATTATTATATGTACTTAATTAATAATACTAACTCGTCCTCCTCCGTACGTC